GAGCCCGCAGCACGGGGCGGGCAGGAGGCAAAAGGAGGCCCAGAGCGGCCCGCACCGCACCACTGCCCGTGCCAGGAACTATGGCACCTTGAGGAATTCCCATTTTTACCCTGCCTTTGAGTTTAAAGGTGAGTTCACCTAAAACGCTGCACGGCACTGAACCCAAACCACAGCTATAGGCTATGTCACCATTTAAGTTCTTGTGATGCACATGAAAAAGAGCTCTTTCCATCCTCCTCCCTAAAACTCCGATTTCCCGCTCACCTGTTTCCCAAGGACTAGATTATCACTCTCTTCTTCTTAGTCAATGATCCTCATATAAGATGAAGTTTTCAGAATATCAATGTTTTAAGTGATACTGAGAAAGAGAGCAAAGCTTTTATTTAATAATATTAAACTGGTATGTTGATGGCTGCTATCAATCACTTCTTTCCATGACAAAACAAGTACTGAACCAGATGATGCTCTTGGAAACTCTCACATCTCACTGACAGAGACCAAATCGACAACATATTCCTCTTTCCAGTATGTTTTCTTAATTACACACATCAAAAAAAGAGGAAAAAGGAGGAAACAAACAAACCAACATCCACCACCAAAACCCAACAGTACCATTCTGGAAATTCACACCTACAATATTCTCCTAAGTTTTTGAATTAGAGAAGGAATGGCCACCGTAGGCAGAGACCACACTAAGCTGAAAACCTTGTCTCATCTGACAAAACACAGAATTCCAGTACCACAACCAACAAGCACAAGTAACAAGCAGAAATATTTGCTTATTTTCTGGGATTCATTTGGTGAAATAAGCAACTGAAGTATTTCAGGTTTCTGTAAAACATACAACCTGTTTTTACTGGCACACAAGTCTCAGAAAAGCTCATCTCTCCTAAAATATTTGCCTGCAGCAAAACACTGAGACAGTAAGACCACAAATGAAAATGGCAAACGAGGATTCTGGAATCATTCTAAATTTGAGCCATAAGTGACAAAGAGCAATCTAATTTTAAAAAGTTCATAAAGCTTTGATGTGCCAACATCATTTCATGACTTAACTAAGTCTAACACAGTTGCTCCCACCACCAAGAGCAGGAACTTTCAAGTGGTTTGTTGCCTGCAGCTATTTTCTACAGGAGACTGCAGTAGCATGTAATATTCAAGAGAAGCTGTCTACATTATTTTTTATAATTCAGTTGCTATTGGTAAGTTATACTGAGACAAAATAAACCTAGAGAGTATTTAACTGACAATTCTATTTACACTCCTTCCAAGTGGAAATTATTTCATTCCAAATGTTGAAAGACTTGAACACGTAAAGTTCAAATGTGATATATTTATGGAATTTGAGTTAGATTACAAGCCAGCTAACTGAATACTCCAGTTTATAAAATGAATGCTATTCAAGTCACATAATGCATTTTAACTAAGTATTTTAATAAGCTACGAAATAGCAATTTTTTGTCATTTCACAGAACCCATTTTTTTAACGTATATTCAAATATCACAGGATCCTTGATTTAAACCAACTCAAATTAATTTGTTTTCAGTTGCAAAACATCAAGACTTTGTATCTGAAAGATGAGAGCTGTACATAAATTTTACTTTAACTTCTTAAATACAAGTTCAACAAATCCTTACATTGGTTATTGCCTTTATTCAGCATTATCTTCTTGAAACTCCAAATGTATTGAAAAGCTCCAAAAGCATAACTCTGGCCCAAGTACATAACTTGGAAGTTATCTGAAGGCTAGGAAGTATCACAGAAAAATTGAAGTCTCTCCTATCTCCCAGTTCCACGCCTGTGGGTTTTTTGGTTGGTTGAATTTAAGCTTATACAACAGTCAACTTTAAGTTTACCACAAGTAACTTAATACAAACAACAGCAACAGAAATTTGGGGTTTCGTGACACAGGTTTGTGTCTACAGCCCACCTGTAGACAACACAATGAAATGTCTCTGGTTTTGTCAAGAAGGACCAACATGAGCCATATGAGTTACACAGCAAGACCTATCTGTCAGAGATGGGATTCAATTAGTATTTTTCTCCTTTGTATAACTTCAAAGATTATTTTTTTTTTCAGCCCGTTCACCTCTAGGGCTTTCAGCAGCAGAAAATATTCATGCTGATGCTAAAAACAAGGCATTTCTCACACCCTGTTTCATTCAGCAATGAAACTGTTATCATGCCATACAAGAAAACAAACTATGTTACCCAATAAAGAGCCCTATACCAGATCTTTGGTACTGAGTTTGTGACTGATCACCAGGAAGACAGATCCACAAAATTATGAGTTGAGGATAATGAACAAGTGATACCAAGATGACAGAGATTAATGATGGTCAGTTGCACAATCACTCGTGGTGTTTATTTCTCTGCATACAATCAGCCAGCCTGCACATGGATAAGTCTTGGGAGAGTTCAACACCAGATAAATACTCCAGGAATAACAATAAATAGACTACTGATTTAAAGAAAAGAGACTATGAAAAACGGGAAAAGTTGTTTCGAATGGCCAAGCACTACAAACGAGAAAGAAGTAATCAATCACAAATCGAGCCGGAACTGCCAAGGGTTAACAGGGAGACTTCTGCTTGGAGAACAACACCTCGCTGTAAGAAACGCCACGAACTCTCATTCTCGGTCATTTAAAACAGGATTCAACAAAATTCCCAGAGAGCACGAAAGCGTCGTGCAACGGCTTCCAGAGAAGCGATCCAAAAGGCGTTTTCCTCCGGTTCCCTTCCAGCAGCCCGGCGAGCCGTGCAAGCGGGACGCGGAGCGGAGGGGCCCGGCCGGGCCCGGAGGAAGCGGCCGCCTCCCGCGCGGCGGTGGCCAATGGGCGGCGGGCGCGGCCCGAGGCGCGGCGAG